CTGTGGAGTGGAGATAGGAAAAGAGAAAGATAGGAGGGCTGGAGGGAGGAGAGAAGGAAGGGTGGAGAGGAGAGAGCAAGTGATAAGAACTTTTAGGGTAGTGTTGAGGCCACAGCGGGAGCAGCGGGCATCTCTGCTGGGCCCCCCTGAGAGCAAGGCGCCACTATTTCGCTGCTCCCGCCGCCGCTGAACCGAGCCTGAGGACCATGACCTTGAACTGGAGCTACCTGTACAGGCAGCGGGGCGTGCTGCGGCAGCTGCAACTGCTGGTTGGGGCCCCCTTCATCATCCTCACCGCCATGAGCGGGTTCCAGGGCCCCGTGTACTTCGCACTCTTCACGTCTGCATTCTTCTACCTGACGACCCTGATCCTCTTCTTCATCAGGCTGCTTGGCAAATACTGGGTGGGGCTCTTCCTGATTCAAATGATTCACGACCTGCTGGCGGCTGCGCTGTACATCGCCTTGATGGGCATCATGATCGACCAGACGCTGGGCCAAAGTTACTGCAACTTCGAGGATTTCCCGCTGCCCTGCGCCTACAATATCTTTCTTGGGGCCTCCGTCTGCGGCGGACTCTGTTTTGGCCTCTACTTGCTCTCCGCATACTTTCGATGTACTAGTTTAATTGTCTGGTTGCATGAAGATGATGCTGCCCGCTAGCACCGCGGCACAGCAGAGGTCCCTCTGGAGAACCGTGCCCCATTCCTTCCCAGTGATGTGCTTACCCTGAGGTCGTGCGCCCTGGCAGGCTCCTCATGCCCTGCGTTTCAGCTGCCGCCGGGTTCCAGGAACCGAATCCAGATACGCAGCTCAGGCCTAACCGTGACCCTCAAGTCTAAAGCGGCGACCCCCGAGTCTAAAGCGTTGCGACCCTTGCGCCTCCTCCACTGGCTCTGACAGGGCTGCACTTCGAAAGCGGACTCACCCCTTCAGACTGGCCGCCCAGAGGAGAAATAAAATGGTTCCTTCTTCCCTGCTGTGAACTAGGTATGGACAAGCTCCTCACCGATCCCAGGAGGCTCCCAAATCGAAAACAGCTTCATGGCGGGGGCCACCGAGCCCGCTCAGCAGATGTTAGAGCACTTCTGGCTTTTCTTTCCATAGAGTGGAAGGAAGGCCGGTGTGTGGTGGCTGCTGAAGCTGGGGACAGGACTTGGCTGGTCTTGAGTTGAGTGGAGTTTGGGATTATGTGTCATTAATTCATTAGTCCCTCCTAGCACACCCCTTGGTGCTTCCATGTC